TAGAAAGTGAGAAAATGACAGAGATAGAGATAGAGAAAGAGAGAAAGATAGAGATAGAGAAGGAAGAAAGAAAGAAAAAAGAAGAGAAGGAATAATAAAGAGAAAGGTATACAATATTATAAAAATATTTAAATTTAGTACATCTGTAGCATAACGCTAATCTCTCTGTTTTTAAAAAAAAATTTTATATTTTGTGTATTTTGCGTCATAAAAGAAAATTTTGAGAAAGAATATCGTTCGGGTTCCGTTTGTTTAAAGTTTATAATATTTAAACACTATCATGATGTCGATAAGTAAGAAAATAACAAATTATGAATATATTATCTCTCTCACTTTTGCATTAATATCTACTGATTATCTCGAATAATTTGTATTTAATTTAAAAAATGTTCAAAATAAAAAATATTTCTTTTTACTTCTATTTTCGCATAAAACATTAAAAAATAAGGTTTTTATTTAAAAAATAAAATTGACTGTTATTTGATCTGTAGTTGCACCATCCATAATGAAAGTTTCCTCTTTGATATCAAACAAATTTTGTTTAAAATAGTAGAAATACAGTGTTATGGATATAATTAGAACCTGTTAAATACTTATTTAATATAGTTATCAACTAAAATTTAAAAACTTACTTTGTGATTTAAATAAAAAAATCTATCTAGCAGACCACAGTTTGATGTACTTTTGGTTAAAGCGAATACTCTGTATTTCTACTATTCTCTGCTTTAATCTAGATTATAATTCTAAAATATATAATTATGTGAAAGTAATAGAAGGATATAATTTACTAATTATTTTAAAAAATTCAGGAATACGTTTAATATGATCTAATTATATCTGTAAATGATCATTTTCTTACTTATACCGACATCATAACATTTTAAATATTAATTATAAACAAATGGAACATGAGCAACAATTTTTTTTCTTCTCCAAATCTTTTTTACAACTCAAAATACACCAAATTTTAAAATTTTAGAGGGCGAGGGCGTTATATATATTCAAGATTTACCAAAAACATTTAAATTTATATATTACTTAATTTTTGTCACATATTTACTTTATGTTACATATATACTTTTAAAAATTCATGTGTTATGTATCTCGTACTTAAGGTACGGAAGTTAAAGAAAATAAAAAAAAGAAAAAGGAGAAGAGGAGAATTTTGTTGAATAGAAAGTGAAAAGATCACAGAAAGGTTGTAGAAGTAGAAAGAGAGAAAGATATAGAGACAGAAAACGAAAAAAGAAAGAGAAAAGAAGGAACAATAAAGAGAAAGGTATATATTATAAAAATATTTATTATATTACAAATATATTTAAATTTATATATTAGTTAACTTCTTTATATACACTACCGTTCATTAATTTCAACATACACCCACAGATTCATTGAATTTTCTGCAAAGGCTGAACATCATGATACGTGTTTTGCACAGAAATGAATGCATTTGCTGTTATAAACATTTCACTTGCATCGATTTTTATATATTATGTAAAAATCCTTGAAAACTGTAGATTCGAAGAAAACGGGGCTAACAGCCGGATAATGTCTGATACCTGAAAATAAAGAAAATACACGCGCAAGGTCAGGTCAGGTTAGGTTTCTTTGCACCTGGTCGTGCGGGGGGTTCCGCAAGGGTCGGTCCTAGGACCACTCCTGTGGAACCTGGGGTACGACCATGTACTCCGAGTCGCCCTCTTCCCAGGCTGCTGGCTTAACGGCTTCGCAAATGACACCTTCCTGGGAGTCGAGGGCGACACGTGGGAGGAGGCAATCGCGAAGACGAAAGTCGCAGTAGGGATGGTCGTGGCAGCGATGAAGGAGGCAGGGCTGAGGGTGGCTCCCCAAAAGACACAGATAGTGTTCTACGGCAAGAGGAGGGGGAAGCCGCCCCCAGCCCACATCGAGATCGAGGGAACCCGTGTCTCCGTGGGGGCCGAGATGAAAGTCTTGGGCCTCTGGTTGGATGGCACCTGGAGCTTTGGCGGGCATTTCGCTCGCCTGACCCCCAAAGTCAAGACTACGGCGAACAGCCTAGCCAGGCTTATGCCGAATCTGGGGGGGGGGGGCGAGCGGACATGCTCGCCGTCTATACGCGACGACCGTGCACGCCGTGGCACTGTATGGTGCCCCTGTCTGGGTGCAAGCGGTGAAGGGCTCGGTCCGCTTGCGGACGCAGCTGCGTCAGATGCAGCGGACCATTGCCCTTAGAGTGTCACGAGCGTACTGCACGGTCTCGTACGCGGCTTTGGCCTTGGCGACGGCCTTGGCGGGGCTCCCGCCCTTAGAACTCGCGGCTCAACAGTGCGCCGAAGTCTATCGGCGCACGCACGAGTTGCGGGCCAGGGGGGTCCGGATCACGCCGAGGATTCGCGCCGCGATTAGGCTCCAGGAAAGGACGGCCATGGTCGAGCGTTAGAGGGCGTCGCTCATCAACGCCGAGTTCGGCCAAAGGACCGTCGACGCCATCCGACCCTGGCTACCCAAATGTTTAGCCAGTCGGAGATACGGTGTAACGTTCCACGCGGTGCAGATACTAACCGGACATGGTTGTTTCGGGGTGTATCTGCACCGCATAGGCAAGGAGGCCACGACCCGTTGCCACCACTGCGACGAGGATAGGGACACGGCGCAGCATACGCTGCAATACTGCCCTGCGTGGGCGGGGCTGCGCCGTGTCCTGATAGAAGCTATCGGGCCGGATCTCTCCCTCTCGGCGATTGTGGCGGCAATCGTCGAGAGGGAAGAGATTTCTCTCAAATGGAGGGCCTTCACCCAGTTTTGCGGCAGGGTGATGGCCTCCAAGGAGGAAGCCGAGAGAATCCGCCGGGGGGAGATAGACCCCCCCCCAGGCGGCGGATCTCTCGCAATAATAGATTGCTGGATGGACGGGTCACCACTAGACAAGTCCATCCAACCGCGGGTATTAACAACCCGCGGTTCAGCGCCGCTATAAAACAAGCGGCACGTGACAGTGCTGTACCTCCGGGGATCCTCCCCGACGGGGGGACGCCCCGGAGGACGGAAGGTTCGGCGTCCCGGCGGGAGAACGGGGCGTCGAACCACCTCCCATAAAACAACGGGAGGAGTGACGGGGTGGCTGGTGTCCCCACTCCGTCACACATTAGATATCTGGCTCATATGAGTCGAGAGCTTAGCTCTTAGGTGAAGGCCCAATTGGGTCGGGGGGCGTCCGGATGCAGTAATCACAAGTTCCCGGACGTCTCCCAATAGACGCAGAGTAGGACACTCGATGGGTTTTAGTGGGTAGATCACGTGTCACGCGGTGCCTTGGGGGCAGGCCCTTTCAGGGGTATCCCCCATAATCGACACCCGTGCGCGTGGAATCCCACACTCTCCTCGTCCTCTCCCCGGAGGGCGAGGGGGTCTTCCCCCTCCTAGACACAGAGGGGGCTGCCGGGCCACATACCAGACCTGCCAGTCAGGTCTGGGAACCCGGCAGGAGAAGATTTCCCATCGTTAAAAAAAAAAAAAAAGGTTTCTTTGCACGCGTGTTTTTTTTATTTCCAGGAATCAAACTCTATCTGGCTGTTAGCCCAGTTTTTTCGAAAATTACAGTTTTCAAGGATTTTCATATAAATAATATATAAAAATACAATGCATGCAAGTGTTGAAAGTGTTTATAACAGCAAATGCATTCATTTCTGTACAAAACATACGTATCATGTTCATCCTTTACAGAGAAATTAACAAATCTAGGGGTATATTGAAATTAATGAGTGGTAGTGTATAAGTTTAAAAATTCATGTGTTTTATATTTCGTGCTTAAGGTATGAAAGTTACAGAAAATAAAGAAAAGAAAAAGAAGAAAAGGAAAATTTTGTTGAATAGAAAGTGAGAAAATGACAGAAAGATAGAGATAGAAAGAGAGAAAGGTAGAGATAGAGAAGGAAGAAAGAAAGAGAAGAGAAGAGAAGGAACAACGAAGAAAAAGGTATACAATATTATAAAAATATTTAAATTTAATACATCTGCAGTATAACGCTAATCTCTCCGTTTTTTTTTATTTTTTATATTTTGTGTATTTTGTGTCATAAAAAAAGTTTTTAGAAGGAATATTGTGTTGTTCATGTTCCGTTTGTTTAAAGTTTATAATATTAAAAATATTAATGTGTCGATAAGTAAGAAAATAACAATTTTTAAATATATTATCTCTCTCAGTTTTGTATTAATATCTACCAATTATCTCGAAAAATTTGTATTTAATTAAAAAAATGTTCAAAATAAAAAATATTTCTTTTTACTTCTATTTTCACATAAAACGTTAAAAAATGGGGTTTCTATTTAAAAAATAAAATTGACTTTTATTGAACCTGTAGTTGTACCATCTATAATGAAACTGAAAGTTTCCTCTTTGATATATCAAACAAATCTTTTTTAATACATTTTACATTGAATTTACATTGAATATAGATAAGCTCTGTAAAAGTTTTTTGTTTAATGTGCTTTGTAAAACGAGAAACACAGACTTTACACCTTAATAATATTTTTTAAAACATGTTAACTTATATTGCATACATAAAAATATAAGTGTGCAAGTAGAAATTTGAACATTGCTTCCTCATAGTTTTTAAGTGTGCAAATTATAAATTTGAACATTATTTCCCCACAATTTTTAAGTATGCAAAATATAAATTTGCACGTTGCTTAAGCAACATTTTATTTCGCTCATAAAGCTTCCTCTTTGAGAAAGCTTGTTTTTTTATGCATAATTATTAGTAGATATTTATTAATTTGGCTTCCTCATAGAGGAAGCTTTATGAGTGAAATAAAATGTTGCTTAAGCAACGTGCAAATTTAAATTTGCATACTTAAAAATTGTAAGAAAATAATGTTCAAATTTATAATTTGCACACTTGAAACCTATGAGGAAGGAATGTTCAAGTTTCTACTTGCACACTTAAAAATTATGAGGAAGCAATGTACAAGTTTATATTTGTACACTTTTTCAAAATCATTTCTATCCCTATTTCATATATAATTTCTTTAAAATTTGGTTAATCAGTTCTTGAGTTACAGACGTTTAAAATTTCAAAGAATCCATACATACATAGAAGCCTTATAAAGTTTGGTCTAATCAACCAAATTTTAAAAGATTATATATAAAATAAGGGTAAAAAAGACTGAAGAATACAACAGGATTAGAAAAAATGCCCAATAATTAATACTAAATTGTCCAAAAACATCTATTTTTAAAAAGTCTCAAGTGGTTGAGACTTAAGGTATATCTTTAAAAGTTAAAGTTTTATAATATTGGCAATTTTTCTAATTCTATTATATTGTTTAGTCTTTTCTACCCCTATTTCATATAGAATTCTTTAAGATTTAGTTGATTAGTTCTTGAAATATAAACATTTGAAATTTCGAGAAATCCGTACGGATATAGGAGCCTTATAAAGTTGGGTTTAATCAAGTAAATGTTAAAACATTATATATAAAAAATAGGGGTAGAAAAGACTGAAGAATATAATAGAATTAAAAATAGACCAATATCTCAAATACTGAGAAAGTTACAGCGTAAAACACATTTTTCTGAAAAATAAAAACCCCTAAAATACATATCATTTTACGGATTTTAAGAAAATTAAAGGAGAACATACTTTCTATGATACTCTATTTACATGCAAAATTTCAGCCCGGTATATAAAAATTTGTAGAAGTAGATGCGTGTACAAAAAATGAGGTAAAAGAGATAGAAAGAAAGACGGGAAAAGAGAAAAAAATGGTTTTAGTTAGGTTAAAAAATAGAGTAAGAAAAAGAGAGGTAATGCAGAAGAAGAATGTGTTGAAAGGGAGGATGAAAAGAATAGAGGATGACATGACCCTGAAGGAAAGAAAAATGCAATGGAGCCTGGAGAGGATAGCTGAGAAAAAAAGAAGGAATAAAAGGAGAACTTGGGTAAAGTACGGAAAGATTTGAATAGAGGGGAAGTGGTGGAGTTGGGATGAGGAAAAAGAAGTTTTGATAGATGGAAGGGAAAATGAGAGAGGAGCAAGAAGAAGGGGGAAAGAAAGAGGAACAGAGGAGAGAAAAAGTAGGAAAGAGGGAGACGGAAAAATAAAAAGGGAGGGTAGTGAGGAGGGAGAAAAAACGATGGGTAGAGAGGGCGAAGAAAAGAGGGAGGAATGGGAGAGTAAGGAGAAAGAGAGTGTGGTAAGGCTGAGAGGAAGGGGGAAAAAGTCAGAGAGAGTAGAGTGGGGAAATTAAAAAGGAGTGAAAGAGAGGAAGAAAGGGGAGAAAGGAGGAAGGGGAAAGAAAGGAATCCAGGAGGGAGGAGGAGGGGAAGGAACAAGAAGGAAGCCTAAAGATAAGTTTTTGGAACGCAGCGGGAGTGAAGAGAAAAGAGGAAGGGTTTTGGGAAAGGATAAAAGAGTGGGATGTCGTGGGCTTGGTGGAGACGTGGCTGGAACAGAAGGAATGGGAGAAGATGAAGAATAGGGTGCCAAAGGAGTTTAATTGGAAAATACAGGGTGCAAAGAAAGAAAGGGTTGGAAGGAAAGGAAGAGCAATAGGTGGGATAATGATGGGAGTCAGAAAAGAGTTAGAAGGTAAAGAAGAATGGGTGAAGGAGGAGGGTTTAATGATTAGAGAAGTAAGATGGAAGAAGGAGAAATGGAGATTGGCAACAGTTTACGTAAGCGGTAACTTGGACAAGATAATGGGTGAGATAAAATCGGTAAAGGAGAAGGAAGGGAGAGAGGAGAGATGGATAGTGAAGGGCAATTTCAATGCGAAAACAGGGGAGAAAGGAGCGCTGGAGGATGGAGAAGAGGAAGTTGAAAGAATATGTGATAGATTATATCTTTCAGTAAATAAAGTAAAAAATAAAGAAAATTAGAGGTAGTGGTGGAAATATTGAAAAAATGGAAGAAGAGATAATTAGTGAAAAAAAGGAAGAATAGGAGAAGTAAAAGCAGAGGGGATAACAAACATGTGAAGTGTAAGGAAAAAAAAGAAAAATGAGAGCCGAGAAAGCGAGGTGTGATAAGTCTTATGCGAGAAGTAAAAAGAAAGGAGAAAACAAAATATGGGAGAGAGATGTGTGAAGTGAGCGGAGAGAAAAAAAAGAAACGAGAGGTGGCGAATGGACATTGGTACAGTGGATGAGAAAGGGAATACATTTTAACGGAGAGAAATGGTGATGTGGGACGAGTGTTTTTTAAGGTGAATGGAACGGAAAAAGTTTGGACGTGAAAGCGCGCGCGTTAGCGCGCGCTGCGTGCTAGTCTATCTATCCATAATAAAAAAATCCATTTGGACCGAGAAGTGAGCTTTGCGAGTCGAATATCTCGCACGTAGTGTTGCCGCTTTTCCGCGTGCGTGATTGGCTGGCGCGGTCGAGATTGACGGCGATCGCGAGATCGCGGCGAGTTTGGCGAGTTTCGCGTGTGTTAAATCGTGCGACGTGACGTGTGTTCGCGTGGTGTCTCGCGAGGTTAGTAGGATTTTTTATTATATATAATCCACTATTATATATAATATATGTAGATAATATTGGTAAACAAATATCTTTTAACGCAATGACGTGTGCTCGCGTGGTGTCTCGCGAGGTTAGTTAAATTTTTTGCTTGCTCGTACAAATCTAATCTAAGGTATACGTTACAGTAACTATAGGTTTTTGATACAGATTTATCTTTGAAATCATATTTTATATATAAACAGATGTAAGTGATAATTACTGTTTTTGCATTATGTAAAATTTGTCTTATTTTAGATAATATTCCGATGAATTTAATGTTCGAGAAGATCTGATGGGATTAGCTATTGGTGCTCATGATGCAAATATTCAACAAGCGTGAAAAGTTGATGACATTACAAATATAGTTAGAAGAAAATTCATGCACATTTAAGATATATAGAGAGGTAATTATAAAAATTATTATTGCTTGTATTATTTCAAAGAGGATTGTTTTTTTTTTATAAAAGTTTACTGACCGGTTTTTTATCTAAAATGTATATAAATATTCGTATATATGTTGCATTATATTGAGCTGGTATACAGAGCTTATCAGATTTCTTTCTCAATCACAGACGCATGAAGCTGTTAAGAAAGACCGATCTATGCAGGAATAAAGCAGTAACCTAAAAATAGATAGTGACAGTGTGACAGTCGTGACCATCGCCGCGTGATAGATGATAGTGATAGTGAAATATATATTGACGGCAGGGAGCTGATGCCGAGGAGATCTTTAAGAAGGAAGGTATATTCAAAATCGCACACGTACGTATATATGCTGTCTTGTAAAAGTTGTAAAAGTTAAGAGAACGAGAAAATCATCTGTATTTATATGCACGTGTGACAGGCACTATTGGGCACTATCGCGTAATAAAGATTTCTCCGAAGAATGTTATTGTACTTTACTTTCGTTAACTTGGATACTTCAAATGTACAATCTCGCGTCTTCAAAATATAATAATTCTCAGACACTGTTGAGGAATAATTGTCCAGCACAAGAGGTCCTCTTATAAATGTCCTCCTTTTCTTTCGTTTTTTCACACAGGACCATTTTATATTCAACTATATGGTATACAATTTTGCCGCTATATATTGACCGCAGGGAGCTGATACCGAAGAGATCTTTAAGAAGGAAGGTGTATCCAAAATTGCACATGCATGTATGTATATGCTGTCTTGTAAATTGTAAAAGTTGAAAAGAACGAGAAAGCGTTCTGTAACACAATTTATATTGTAGGCAAGTTATGCTAAAATATTTGTGAATTGA